CTGACCAGGACCCAGGCCAAGGAGGAGTTTGCAACCAAGGTACGAGCCCTTGACCGGAATCGAACTCGGGACCCTTGGGTCCACAGGCCAACACTTTATCCACTGAGCCAAACCAACTAGGGCGGTACTGGCCTTCTTAAATATCAGTTAAGCTTTCACACTTTTCAGAAGGCAGAACTGGAGACAAAAAAGCAATTACCGGAAATTATGTTGGAAAATTAGTCTTGGTAAAATTTGAAAACAGATGCTTCATAAGAAAGAATCATTTGGCAGATGGTTTTTTTTTAAATGTAAGGATGTGATATGGGTTAGGTGGAAGAGAATTAATGAAGATGGACAGATGGGTGGAGAACCAATAAATAAAGCAACTCTGTTCAAAAATGTTACACATAAGACTGGATTTTGAGTTACACTGAGATTCAGTGATTACCAGAAAATTGAAAAAAATAGGAGTCTGGAAATCTGCTAGATAAATCTATATAAAGCATCAAGAAAAATGATACAATCTGAAAGATAATATGGTACAAGTAAAACTTTGAAAAGCTAGAGGTTGAAATTCATGTAATCTTAAAGTTATGAAGTCCCAATCTAATTATTTTGTTGGTATATAAAGTGTACTGAAAAGGAGAGCCCAAAGCCTGAGTATACACTGAATGGTTCTTCCAAAGGGGAAAAAAAAATCACACAGAGCAAACTGAGTTGTCTTTGTACATCTGAGAGAATGCTGAGTGAGGTTATGGAGTTGGGAGTTCAGACTGTGACCATGGAACAGTGTAGAAAGTGCTAAAATCATCTTCACAGACTTCACAGACTTAAAATTTTCTGATGAGAATAGTGAGACCCAAAGAAGTTATATGATTGGCCCAATATCATAAAACCACCCAGCAGAGGAATTATAATTAGATCAAAGTGTTTCTGACTTCTCAGACCAATATACTTGTACCACTTTACCAATCATGATGACTTTGGCCATATTAGCACATGGTTATTAAATTAAACAACCAACCCCCAGCCGGCATGGCTCAGTGGTTGAGTGTCAACCTATGAACCAGGAAGTCATGATTTGATTCCTGGTCAGGGCACATGCCCGGGTTGCGGGCTTGATCCCCAGTGTGGAGTGTACAAGAGGCAGCCAATGATTCTCTCTCATCATTCATGTTTCTCTCTCTTCCTCTCTGAAGTCAATAAAAATATTTCTTAAATTAAAAAACCCAGCAGAGGCCTTTTCTAAAAGTATATACTTATCTATCTATAAATATAAAAGCCTAATATGCAAAGTGTCCCCTCAGGAGTTCGACAGACCAGGTGTTTGATCGCTTGCTATGATGTGCACTGACCACCACGGGGTGGCGTGGAATGAAGGAAGGCCCCGGCCGGCAGCCGCTAGGGACCCTACCCAGGATCAAATTTTGTGCACTGGGCCTCTAGTCCTCCTATCTAATAACAGACAAACATGGTAATTGACCGAATCTTCGCTACACCTCCCATTGGCTAATCAGCAAGATATGCAAATTAACGGCCAACAAAGATGGCGGTTAATTTGCATACATAGGCACAAAGCGGCGGAGCGAAGACTGAAGGCGGCTCCGCCGGAGCAAAGGCCTGGGTCCCAGGTGCCGGAGGAAAACCAGTGCCGGCACCCAGGGGAAGGGAAGGCCTATTGCACAAATCTTTTCGTGCAACAGGCCTCTAGTATTTATAAAAGTATATATCACTCAAAAATCTAATCTCATATGTAATGTTTTGAACAGAGTTTTTTTATTTATTGGTTCTCCATCCATCTGTCCATCTTCATTAATTCTCTTCCACCCAACCTATATCACACATCCTTATATTTTTAAAAAACCATCTGCCAAACGATACTTTAGTATGAAGCATGTCTTCAAATTTTGCCAAATTTTGAACAAAAATGTAATTAACATCACAAATCATTTCCAAAGACAAGATACTCTAATTTTAAAAGTACTTAAGAGGTTTGTTCTAAAGCACTTTTTTGCATTCTACTACCTCTAGTACACTACTGATTTTGCCTGATAACCTTAATTTCTTTATCCAACATAAAGAAAACCGAATTACACACACATTAACATAATTCAAAATGATATTCAAATAATTTTCAGGAATCCATAGCAAATTAACCAAGGAATAGGAAATATCTCTTTAACTGGCTATAATACAGACTAGGCAATAATTTTAAACATTTGTTATACCAAATTGACTGAAAATTGGGTAATTTTAATCTTGCAGGATTAGGGGAAATTAAATTAAATTACTTTTTATTTCATGGGGCCCAGGATTTCACTCCTCTCCTTCCTCTGAGTTAAATTTATAAAAATTCTAATAAAATATCACTACCCACATAATACAGGGTCGGGCAAAAGAAAGTATAAAGTTGTATGTGGAACAGAGTTTATTCTTGTATTATTATTTATTAATTATTGTATTATTTTCCATACAAACAACTGTAAAAACTACTTTTACCCTGTATATGTTATATTAACAAAATATTACTTAGTTTATTTATGTCCTAGATCATGGTATTAGAAAATAAGACCTGTGTGCTTGGTGTACTCATTGCTACTGGGGTGCCATTGCTTCTTTAGTGAAAAAAACTAGGAAATATATGTATACACATATGCATGTATATACATATCTAAATATATCATATACATATTTAGATCCATGAATTCATACTGATTCTCCTAATTTCAATACAACACCTTAGGGTCCTAGGGTTCTTTCTTGCCTTTCCCCATTCCATGTTTATAATTTCTTTCTCAGACACAGAGAAATCTAACTCCCATTATCCTCCATATTACTTACTTGCTCAAAGTAACCAACCTACCAATGTAACCACTCTGGTTGACTCTTCTACATGCCTTCTCTGTAACCCTCCCTCCAAAAAACCCATTTCCTCAAACACTAGGCACATTACTGCCCTTACTGCTATACTGCCCTCTTACCCTCCTCACTGCTACACTTCCCAGGGTATCTATATAGTCAAGGCTGAAGGGAAGGGGAATAACAAATAGAGGTGAAGGGAAGGGACTCAGTCATTATTTTAAATTATATGCCTTAATAGTTGACTCCTCTCCTATACTCCATCTTTCAACATATCTTTCCATAACTCCCCTATTAAAGAATGGCTAATTGGCTATATTTGCTTTTGCAAATTTGACTTCACCATTAAACATAAGAATGCTCTAGAAGTGGTACTCAACTGTTAAACTTGACAATTTCCATCAAACTGCAAAAAAATAAAAATCATGATATAATAAACCATATTGAAACCTCTTGAAGCAGAAAAAAAAACTTAAAAACACCTTGAACACTTAATTCACAAAGACAACATATGCATCAAAAAAGCACATAAAATTTAGTCAATCTATTACAATATGTAAAATTTATACAATGCACTTTTATAATATTCTAATTTATTTTATAACTACTTAGGGGTTCCATAGAAGGATAGTCAATTCTTGACTATGAAAGGTGAAAAAATAAAAATCTGCTCAGCCATTCATTCATCAGGATGAGGTAACAACGACTGATAAGGCCAGCTGCAAATTTAATAGGAAATATTGTTTCTCTCAAGGACACACGGTAGCCGAAAAGTATCATAACAACCTCCTTTTTTGAGTGACTATTATGTTGTTACTCACTGAGAAATCTTATTGTCTAAAATCAGAAATATAAAAAAAAATTGCTGTTTAGACATTAATCAGTAAGAATGAAACATCCCCACTTTTGCCTGGAGGAGCTACTTCACCTTGACACAGAGAAGCAGGCTCAATTTCCGACTTAGGTACAAAGGTTCAGAGGAGGGGTTTTTGAACACAACATTCCATATAAATGTTAACTTTGTAGTTTCCAAGACAGCAGGACCCTGGGTCTATTTCAAAGTTGAGACCAGATATTGACCGTATTTACACATAGCCTTGCTTTGTTTTAAGTCTGTCAGAATACAGCTTCATTTAAATTTCATCTGAACTCCACCCTTCCTCTAAATCCTACAACAATTTTATCTTTTCCTTTGGCGAAATGCCTGCCTGGTACCTGTTATATAATCTCCCTCACTGAAACAAGCCAAGAAGTCTGACTTTGTCAGACTATATGTTTGTCCCTGAAGGTCTTGGGGTGGTAGGGCTGAACAAAAAAAGTGACAGTCGCAGCCCAAACTTTTCATTTCTGTTGTTCATGATCATGAAGCTCACATAATTATGTGTAACAATGAGACCCAGAAGACAAGGACAAGGTAATTAACTGGTTAAAGCAACACAATTTTAGCTATCATAGACACAAGTCATGAAACAAGTAAACAGGCTTTATTTTCATCAACTAACCAAAAGTTATACACCCCTATATCGTCACTGAGTTAGCCAACTAGAGAAAGATCTACTGGTAGAAAATTGGGTGAATATCCTCTCATTTTTCCTCACTGTTGATCATGCCCACTCCCATTTAACATGTTGGGAGTTTGATGGTGGTTGAAGAGAGTGACATCAACATCCAGACACTAACCATTCGTTGCAGTGTTGCCATCAAAGGAAAAAAACAAACTGTTTGAACCACTTTTAAGAAAAAAGGAATTGGCCGAAACCGGTTTGGCTCAGTGGATAGAGCGTCAGCCTGGGGACTGAGGGGTCCCGGGTTCGATTCCGGACAGGGGCATGTGCCTGGGTTGTGGGCACATCCCCGGTGGGGGATGTGCAGGAGGCAGCTGATCGATGTTTCTCTCTCCTCAATGTTTCTAACTCTCTATCTCTCTTCCTTACTCTCTGTAAAAAATCAATAAAAATATATTTTAAAAAGAAAAAAGGAATTGATCTCCTAGAAAAGATTACTATGTGTAAATAATTCCCTATCAAGATTTGTTGGGACATACATCTGCTTCCACAAATATTTAGCTTTTCAGTCATAAAAAAAAAAAAAGCCACTAGAATTTAAACCCCAGACAAAAGTTCTTTGGTATATAATTATTATATTAAAACAAATTTTACCTTAAACTCTGACAACCATTCCTCCACAACCCCTTTCTCTGAAGTGAACATCTTTCCACATCTGTTCTAAATCTTCAATCTGAAAATTAACATAGAAAATTGTTAAAATTTTAAGTACATTTTCTTTATAGTCAGATTATTATAGATAGAAATGAACCTATAAAACTTAGTTATTTCCTATTAGTAAAAGTAAAGCAATTTCAAACAGAAATTACTGGGTTCATTTCAAAACCAATGTGCACAAACAAGCATTAAAATGCAAGAATTTTGACAAAAGTATAAGTGTCATAATATGATGATACTGGCTCTGCAATTTTCTTTCAGCTTTCATGAATGCCAGCTGCAAAACATACTGAACATTTTTTCCTAGTTTCAAGTGAGTAATTTCAAATAGATGATGCATCGCAAGAAAATTGCAGAAAATATTTTAAAACTGTGTATTTTCAAAAAGACATGCATTCAAAATTGACTTTATAGAAGGCATTAAATTGAATTTGCTTATATTTCAGTTATTTATAAGAATAACAGTCTATCTAGGCAGCCACTTGGTTCCCTTAAAGCTTAATATTAATAAAACAAAAGTAAAAGTGGTAATATCCAAGATAATCACTGTATTCAACACTAGTTATTCAGAAGATTGGAATTACTTAAGTATAAAAAGAAAAAAAAGGAAGCTTAGGAAATGAAAAACAAATTTATCTCCAGCAAAACTTGTCAGAGTACAATGTAGTTATCTTCACCCACCCATCTATATGAGAGTAGACTTAGAAACTGTTTCTTGAGGAAAAATCTTAGCTCTACCTAAATTTCCTAACCTCCTAATTCAGGTACAAAACCTGCATTAGGCTTCTTAATTTTCATCAGCATTATCAAGTAGTAGAAACTGAGACAGAATTGCCAGAAACTGAATCCTAATTCTATTAGGGGACCCTTCAGTCTGCAGGCCGACACTCTATCCACTCAGCCAAACTGGATAGGGCAGAAGAAAATATTTGTAAAACTAATTTTCATTGGGCTTATCAATGTTTGGTTATTTGGTATGAGTACTTATGGATTTTATTAATTCTGTATTTCTCTCTGTGTCTGGTGACTCTCCTTTTGTCATATGTCCTTAAGAGCTTGGCCTTATGACCAGTGAGAATACTTTCTCTCTGGCTTCCACTTGCTTGTGTGCCTCCTGCTCTCTGTCCAGCCACGTTAAGCTCTCAAGGGAATTTTCCATGTATAACCATTTCCTCCCAGAGATGATAAAAACAGGGCCCCTCATTCTTGCTTTCCATTAGTTGGAGAATATATATGCATATGGCAGGCAGCCAAGTAGGATGTGGATTTGACCTTAGGAAATCTAAACACCCAATTCAAAAGGGAGGAAACATGATTCCCCATATTTTGGAATGGCTATTTCTAACTCTGGGAGTCAACTTTAACTTGAGAGGGTTGCATCTTTTTGCACTCTCCTTTGGGGATGTCTCTTGCATCCAGAATATTGGTTTGAGTAGCTATTAAGATCCTACTCGTCAATAGACAAATCCTTTGAATTGGAAAACTTTCTAAATGAAAAAGAAAGAAAACCATTTCAGAGAGTTCTCATATTGTTATACTGGCTAGTCATTAAGATTCCTTTAATAAGATGGAGGGAGAGAAATCAAAATAAACTCAGACACCTTCCTATTTGCCTTCAGACATTTGCAGATTAGAGAAAGCAAGACCGGCAGGCATGGCTCAGTGGCTGAGCATTGACCTATGAACCAAGAGGTCAAGGTTCGATTCCTGGTCAGGGCATATGCCGGTTTTTGGGCTTGATATAGTGTGGGGTGGGCAGGAGACAGCCAATCAATGATTCCCTCTCATCACTGCTGTTTCTATTTCTCTCTCCCTCTCTACTGCTTTCTGAAATTAATATATACATATTTACAGAAAGAAAGGGGGGAGGGAGGAAAGGAGAGAAGGGAGGAAGGGAGATGGAATATTGGAAATAGAACCATTCTGCACTTATGAAGAGAAAAAAACAAAAGGCAAAATCTTATTAAAAGACAATTTATACATTTTTATGTCCTAAGAACTGAGCTTGGTAACTGTCAGGTTGGAAGCTCCAACGTATGGCCAGACAGAAATGTGGGCTAAACTCCATTTATGGCTACGGTCCTACCAAACTGCTGCCAGCTCTCAAAGAAATTATATTATAACCCAAAATTACAATGATTATTATGAGTAATGTTCCAAATAGATTAGATCATTTAAAAGCAAGGGCTTCCAAATCAAATAAACAAAATGAGATACCTATATTTTAATACTGACAGAGATAAAACAAAGAGAAATTTATGACTCCTTGACATGAGAATTCCATGAACTATGGGAACAAAACCCATTGGTGAAGCCCTAACTCAGGCTATAATTAGGTTAAAAGAATATAGTGATGTAAGGATTGATACAATTATGAAAACTGGAAGGTTTAAACAGGCTTTATGTTAAAAAGAGTTATGTCAACTTTATCTGAATGTTTTATGGAAAAGGATGTCTGGCAGGGAACAATTCATCTACCCAAAACCTGTTGATAAAGTTCTAATGGAGGCTATAGTTAAGATTTAATGGTTGATGGAGTCAAGATAAAAGATTAGAGGCAAGTTGTTATGTTTTGCACAGGCTTCATGTAAAGTAATTGCATCTCCTTTATCTGATTGTATTGTGGAAATAGACATTGTCTCTCACCAGGAAACATTCCCCTGCCTGCCTGGGACATGAAGGCTGTCAGTTTTTTCTTTTGGCTATCAGAGGGAATGATCTGGAAGGTAATGACCTTTGCAGCCTCTTGAGTCCATGCAATTGTTTAATACTGCCAGAAATATTTGCCATTTATTCCAGCTGAAATTTGACAAGCTATTTGAAAAGATTTAATAACTATTTTTTAATCAGAAATTTGGCAAAATTGGAAGTTGAAGATTAAAGAGTGTGATAGGATTTCCTAGAAATCATCCTCTCTCCCCACCCCTCATACTCCACAGGTTTAGCTTAGTTGGTTGAGCTTCGTCCCATATACCAGGAGTTTGCATGTCAGGGCACATGCCCAGGTTTCGAGCTATCCCCAGTGTGGGGCAAACAGGAGGCTGTGATCAATGTTTTTTTTCATCCATGTTCCTATCTCTCTCTCTTCTCCCTTCTTCTCTCTGAAATAAATTAAAAACAAAACATATTTTAAAAAATACACCCTCCCCTATGCTAAATAAAACAACACAAAAACGATGTACCCAGAGGGAAAAAAAGCTACCGTATTTGCCGGCGTATAAGACGACTGGGCGTATAAGACGACCCCCTAACATTTCCACTCAAAATACAGAGTTTGTTATATACTCGCCGTATAAGACTACCCCCTCTTCCGCACACCTTCCACACACCAAATAAAAGGTAAAACAATATCAGATTTGATTTTAACATTTTAATTTATATTCAAATGCTTATGACATGCAGGAAAACTGTCACAAGGCTGTATGTAATCAAACATATACATAAAACAGTGCAAGTTTATTACCGGTAAACATACCGGTAATTCACTAAAGAAAACACACTCTATAGACTGGTACCGTAGATGCTTCTCAGGAACACAGGCAAGCAGCCCACAACCTAGAGGGACTGTCAATGATAGAAGAAAGAT